ATTAACAAATTGAACAAACTTCAACTATTTCTTTCGTTATAGCAAACCTCACAAATTTTTAAATTCATAACAATATTATATGAAATTAGGACATCTGTAGGATGGTGAAGTGTTACAGTGAATTTCAGTAGTTTTGGTGTATTTGAAAATACAGTTTCTTATGCTCTTATATACTCTATCATTGTTTTAGTTTATATTAGCAGTAAAACAGCTGATGAAGAGTTGATATTTTTTAAATTCTTGTTTTATAGACCATATTTATATTTAAAAGCTCAAAGTCCTCTAGTATCCCATTAAATCATCTCCTCCTTTTATAGAAGCTTAGAACAATCCCCAAAGTACAAATATTGTACACATACAAAATCTGTTTATAAAGATCATCTCTAATTCTCTTAGGGACAATTTTTTTGTTGTTTTTGGAAAGCTGGAAAATGAATTAATAGGAAATGGTTGTTCTATATAAAACAGTTTTAAAAGTCACAGGGTCCACCACAAAATTTATAAAGAAACTTACTAAAGGAAACAGGACAATTTAATTCAGATTAATTATACTCTTTGGTGGTAACATCTGGCTTCAAATTAAACTGAAAAAATGTACATGCATTTTGAAGTAGTTTAAGAAAATAGCATAATTAACTGTTGTATGATTCCATGGTAGAATGACATATGTATGAAATGGCAAACTTGAGAGGCATTTGTAACAGTAATTACTTTAGTTGTAGTCTGAAGAAAACAATACTTCCATATTCTATACTGCAGGCAAATAGTTTGCTATTCAGCTATGAACCAATGGATGCTGTCATCTTTATAATTGTACAAGCAATTTAAAAATCAAATCATAGTTTATAGTCTAAAATTCTGGACCTGGAATGCTTTATTATTTGTGGGTTTTTTAAAACTAACAATAATAAGAAGTGCAGCTATGGTGGGGAGTGATGCCTGTACATTATCAAAATGCATCCTAGTTTATGAATACTGAAACTGTTGAAAACAACAGTTTAGGGTCACTTTCTTCTGTAGGCTTGCCTGTTGAAAACTCTGCTAAATAGAAATATTTTCCTCAAATTTCTGTAACAGCAGAGAAACCAATCAATGTTGCACATGGAAAAAAACCTAAACAACATATAAATTTGAAGCAAAAAAAAGGAGTTGGTCTTGGAATAATGTAGGAAACTATCTAGGGCAATGTGAAAAAATTACAGAAGTAAGTTTGCTCAGTATACCAGACAGTATATTTACGAGTGTATATACCAGTTAACTTACTTTCAAATAGCAGTAATTTGCTGTTTGTATAAATTCAGACCTCCATACTAAAAACCAAATATTTTCTTTTGTTGTTGGTTTGGTTTTGTTTGCATTTTTTTTAAGTAACATAAAGTCTCTCGGTAAAGAAGGAGAATTAAAAAGATCTCAGAAGCTGATGTATGTGTAATGTCATTTTACTTAACAGACTGGGCTCCATGAGCTCTGCTAGCATAATTCAGTGACTTCCTTAATTTTATGTTAGCAAAAAATTAACAGGAGAATAGGCATTGCTTTACAATCTGACCACAATTTGCTTTAACGTGGATCTAGTACTACTGTTGATATCTAGTTGTTTGGAAATTCTGGTTGTTCAGTACATCTTCCAGGTAATTATTTCTTGCATAGATTCTACTGATTTATTTAAAACTGATCTCTGTCACACATCTCCATTACTAGGAGGCGATGAATGTGGACTATTGGCTTGCTTTTAGATGTCATTCATTAATTTTTCTGTATGTGACCCCTAATAATTCCTTATAAAAATAATTCTTTTTTTAGGAAGGATAGGAAATTACCAGTTACCTAGGCATTTCAAATAATTTTCTGTCAGAATCTCCATCATAGGCAACTGGCAGCACAGTTCACTCATCACACTTACAAGTGCATTGTAAGAATCTGCTTTTCTTAAATAGCTCTTTTCAGCACAACAGTAGCAGAACAGTACCAAAATAAAATACAGAAGAATATAATAAGGTTTTTACTTAATTATTATTTAAATCTACCTATCCCCATTCATCATCCAGTAATTGAGGTTACTGATTTAGTATTAAGATGTTTGTAAGAATATGGGATTTTAACCTTGCCAATTCTATTTATTTACTTTCTATAGCCACATATGAACACAGCTGAAATGTAGCCAGTTATCTTCAGGTCTCATTTTTGTCTCATTTTGAGAAAAGACAACTAGGGACAAAAGGATTGTCCTCAATCTCTACAGAAAGTCATTTTGGAGGAGATGATGAGTAGATCAGTGATCAGCTGGAATTCTGATCTGTGTCTAACTGCAAACTCTGCTCAGCTTACAAATAAGAAATAAGTTTCAGGTTGACATTTTCCAGTGAACATTTGTCAGCAACATACAATTGGCTGCAACTGTCAGTGATGCCTGAGAAAGTCTGAAATAAACAACTTATAATTCAAGCAAAAAATTGTAAATAGTCTCTGACAAAAAATTAAAAACATACTTGCAGACTTTGTGAATACCCTTGTTACATTAAATACATTAAAATCCATAATCTATATACAAAATTCATGTAATTGCTTTACTTGTAACTGTAAAAGTGAATCTTCAAGAACAACCACCAATTCTTAAGAAGAAGACTAAGACTAATGAAAATTCTTTACAGGAAAATACAGAACTTATGTCACTAAATTCTGTTCTGCTTTTTACAGTTATCAATCATCATATTGAGTCAAGGTGTCCTCTTGATGTGACAGTGAAGGAGAACAAATTATCATATAGCAGAATGAAGTTAATTTAAAATATGTCTACACAATTCAGCTTTTATTTGGCAGGTGCTCTTAAGACATACACTTCTGCTTTGGACTAAAGAAACAACAGACACTACTGCCTGGTCTTGATTATGTTTTTTTTTTTTTTTTTTACAGTGGTTTAAAAAGGAAGAATCAGAAAGGAGTTATATACCCCATGAAGTCTAGAGGCTCTGCTGTTCCCTTACAGTGTTGTGCATGACAGAAAGCTGAACCAGTTTTATGCCACTAGTGGTATGGCAGAACATCAATGGCATAAGAAAGTGTTTTTCATTGTGCTCTCATAAGTGTTGGGAATTACCTTTAGCAACAGAAAACTGCACTGCTAAAACTGCCTCCCCAGTCACAAAATTCTGTGCATAAGATCCCAAAATAATGGCTATTAGTTTACAAAAATAATTTTTCAGAGTGTAAAGCATAAAAATCTAAAACTTCCTATGGGTACTAATTCCTATTAGTATTTCTCAGCAGGTGTCTACAGACAGACAACAAAACAGTGAGAAGGTATCAGCATAACTAAAGAGAACAGTGACAAATAGCACCAGGTTAAACATATTCCCTAGTAAGTTATTCATCAGCTTAGTTTTGGGAAAGCTACTCTGATCCCAATTAGGAGAAGGATTTGTAAGAAACGCAATCACATTTGACCAACATTTTGAAGATCTGCTCAGAAGGTGCTTGCGGTTCTTAGATGTATAGAGAGAAATAAGTAGGGTTCCTCACACTGTAATGTCATCAGTTATTGTAATATACATTATAAAAATCAGAGCAAGGATGAGACATGTATAATACATCAATTCGATAATGTTTGGCTGAAAATATAATTTTTAAGGAAAAAAACCTCATCGTTCACTTACAACTTTTAACTGAAGGCTGCATAACATGTGTCTTATTCAACAAATTTAACTTTTAATTGAAACCTTTGCAAAGGAAAAGTAGTTAACCTTTGAGTGAATCAATTAATAAGACATTCATTATGTTATCTAGGATGGATTTTTTAAACTATAATAGGATTCAGAACTATAATTATGGATTCAACAGTTCTGGTTATAGTTTAGAATCAAGCAAATTGTTTTGTTTTCCTGTAGTATCAGAGATTCAGTGTTTCTGTTCAGAATATCTTCCTCAAAATTTACAAAAAAACCTGCCTATGGCTGTAATAGCACTTTTTGAGAAATTATAAGTAGATCTCTTCTGTTCATTTATGAATTTAAATGAAGATAAACAATTTCTGCAGCTAGCTGTTCAACAGCTAACAAGTATTTCATTTGTTCTTGTATAGTATTTGTATAGGATACTCATTAAACTTTCTGTGTGATTAAAACTCGAGGACTTCTATTTTAATAAACCACATTTGATTTTTAAAGGCATTTTTTTCTTGCTATTAGTCATTCTATTTCCTCTTCCTTAGATCCTAATGTTCTACTAGAGAAAATAACAGTTAGCTCAGGTCTCTTTCAAAATGACTGATGATTCCCATTTATGTGACTGGAACAGAGGCACTTTGTTCTTATCAAAATGGCAACTGCCTCTATTGTGCTCTAGCTGAAGGAATCCCGTAGTATTTATCAAATCTGGCCATGGCAGTCAAGCTGAAAGAGGACAAGTCCACCTGAGTTTCTCAATAAGCAATGATTTTATGAAACAACCCTTGAAAGAAGATAAGCATTAAGTTATAGAAAATAATGACAGGTTTTCCAGGGTTGCAGTTTTTTTTTTAGACTATCTTTACTTATGAAGCCTAATTACCAAAAAAGACAGATAGTAAATGAAAAACCCAGTAAAACCATCTATTTTAAATTATTTAAAACCTACTCTACAAGTATAAACACAACAATGCAGTCATCATACTTTAAAAAATAAAATAAAGAACAAAATTAATTTTATATACTTTTATCCTATGTTCCCCTAGCTATTGCATTTTATTTTCTTTAACTGTTAACTCTGCATCTCTTGAATTAACAGTGAGTGTGCTGAGGATTTTTACACATTTAGGTAGTGCTTTTCCCCATGTCAGCAATATGCATTCTCAACGCTCATTCAATTTTAATTGCTGAAGTTATAAAACTCTTTATATGTGGTTTTTAATACAAACCAATATGGTACAAAGCTCTCAATTTCTCATTCTAAAAGATAATTCTTGATCTGGGGATTCATGCAATGAACAGTTTTACATGCAGAAATACTGATATACTGACACATACCTTGACTTTTTCTAAGTGATCCTGCAGAGAGTCAATTAGCAGATCCCCCACAGGCTGCCAGGATCCCTTGAATGCTTCAGCCTGGCGTAGTTTCAGGTCCAGTTCATCCATTGCCTCTTGAAGGGCCTGCAGTCTTTCAAGAGCATCATCTATCTTCTTTTGCCAATCAGCAGACTGCAGATTCAGCTTATCCCACTCAGTTCTGACATCATCTGCTTGCCTTTGGAGAAGTTTAGTGACATGGTGGGCTCTTTCCTCAGGTGACAGATCTAAATGTGAAAATCAAGAGGCTCTTAAGGCATATTCTGTCTTAGAACTAAAACAGTTGCCATCTGCATAAGTTCAAATCTCAGTAAGAAACTATTCATAACCCAATGCACCTGTGAAATTTGTTTTATTAATGTATTCCTGTTTGCAAATCTCATAAAAACTTTAAATCTTGCCACCATAAAGATCAAAAAAATATGCATTTAAGTACTTAAAGGCGTTTTGAAACATGTAAGGTATAGCTAAAAGTTTATCAGCTGTGTCCTGATTCAGCACAATATTCCTGCACATAGATAAATATTAATCACTGTGAAGCTTTTGCTGCAATTGAGTGGATTTGTGAGCTCCTGTAGTCCTGAGACTACAAGGTGAATTTTAGCTTAAATTGCAGCTTTGAGACCTCAAAGGGGGCTATAGTTATAGACAGGTCCTGAAGGTTTAAAGGCAGTTTCAAAATCTGCTTATAAATATGCATGTCTATTTAGTACCACAGTGTTCAGAGGGATTGCTAAGGCTTGCTTTCATCTATATTTTTAGCTTAGTTTCTGAATACTGGCATTCAGCTTGGAGTGTAAAAGGAATGCTTTCAGAGCGGCTGGCAGAATTTATTTAATCATCGCTGATCATCACTGATCTTTCCAGCAATGTGTTATCACCCTGTTCTGTCTTCAATTACCTCTTGGTTCTGGGCAGATCTTCTCCAGTCCTTCCACAGGCTGCTCAGTGAGGAAGATTCGCACAGTCTCAAGTGCACTCCTGATAACAGGTTCCTTTGTTTTTATCTCCCTCTTGAAAGTCTAAGAAACAAATTTATTGTGAATGGATCTATAATGAAATACCTCTTTTGTGTCGATTTAAGAACAAAATTTTCAACAAGAGCTTGCATGTGTGTATGACAAGTAGCAACAAAAAAGATATAAAGAGATAATCAGCTTTTGCTTAACCTGAAATTACATTGTATTCAAAGGAGTGAATGTGCTGCCAGCATGACACATTTTTTTTCCTTTAGCAATAGCTTCTTTTACTATTTCTCTTCTACTCCCTACTTTTAAAATGACCATTAGTAAGTTTCCCAAGATCAATATTTGACATTTTGGTAGGCTACTGAAAATGTACATATCTCAGTATTTATTTATTAATTCATTTACCTCTTTTTGTTAAAGAGAGTGTAAGATTCCAATAATCTGAATCTAAATGTTCCCTGCATAAAGATGCAGATGAAACTCAGCCCATGGCTTGCATGTTGCATTGGGACTTCTGCATGTTGTATAGACTTTATCTAAATGGTCCTTACCTCTGCTTCATTTCAACATTTTCTTGTGTATTTATGAAACAATGTTCAGTGAATACTGTTTTCAAGTAGCATAGAGGTAAATTATGCAGATAAAAATAGCACAGTGTAACACAAAACACAATACTACAAAAAGGAGAGCTGTATACCATCAGTAGAAAACAGATATTTTACTCCAGGGATCAGAAAATTCTTTTTGCAACGCTGGCATTATATAAGCTTCTGACATAATAAATTCACCAATTCAGTTAAATTAATTATTAAACCAAATTTGTATTTTTATGCAAACTAATGAAGGATTATAAATTCAATATTAAAAAGTTCATTACACTTTGAATTATATTTGATATGTGACTCTCTGTACAGGAAATACCTACCAGAACTAATAATGAGAACATCTCAGTTTATAATATGAGCACTCATAGGTAAAAAGTTCTTAACACATTTCAGGAAAGTAAACTTAGGGAAATGATTATATTATACTATTATTAATATTTAAATGCACTTTTTATTAAATGGTCAAGAACCGACCATGAGGTCTGTAACTGTGTTTGGGAGAACCCTTCAGCAAAGTCCACTTGGCTGAATGAAATAAAGTAAAAAATCTTCACTTAGTGCCAAAGACATTAATGGGACTAGAACCTTTTCACAGAATGTATCTGCTATCATAGGAGAATCTGCTGTTTGCTTAATAACTGTGATGAATGTTTTAACCAATCATGTTGACCTTTAAAAACCAACACTGATTTTCACAAATAAAGTAGCATACTGTATATTAACAAGTAAAATACCATTGCTCTGCATAAAATCTGAGTGGGTTTACTACAGGGTTGAAACTTAGATGTTTTTAGGTCTGTAATTCTTATAATTCATGCTTGAAGTGCATGAAGTGCAATGGAAAGAGGAAACATAATAAACCTTTTTCATGCCTCCAAACGAGGAAAATCTATTGCTTTAGTTAGCCTTTGTGTTCACCTCACATCATTCTATCCCATTAGAATGCTGTGGTAGGTCTGGTGGCAGGTCTGCAGCTCAAGTAAGCCAGCAGGTAACGTAAGTTAAAAGCCAGCATGGTAGTCCCTATGGACTGCCTGGACTGTCAGCTCCGCTCTCGTCTGACAGTGCTACAAGTAACATCAACAGTCAAATTCACTTAAACCAGTGTTTTAAAACACTAAATGGTATAACAGCCTAAAGAAATAATGTGCTTTATAAACGTCTACAAAGACAAACTGTTTCTCAGAAACGACTGTGCCCCAAATCAGTCAAACAGGAGGCACATGGACTGAGGTCTGTCCTGCCAACACACACCAACAGCAGGAAGGAGTCATGGATGTTCCAGGGGAACACAGGAATACATTGAAGGACAGGACAGTTAAAAGCCAGAAATACCTCTGAGCTCTGCATTTGGGAGTGAGTCCTGCTGTAAATTGTGCTGCTGCTGAAGTCAGGTCACCCCTAGCTATTTACATGTGCACTCCATGAGAAGGACACAAAATACCTTCTTTCAGCTTGTTCTACTTTTGTAGAAAACCTCAGCAATCAAATACATGTAGTGGCATTATAGTTCAAGGGGGTGTTTAAAGTCACATTTCTGCTGTATCTCTTGTGCAACAGGAGAACATAATCAAGATGTGCACTACATTCCAAAAAGTGTGTGAGCAGGAATCATTGTATCCTTCTCAAAACAATAGCAAATGGGAGCTTTCTGATTTTGTAGATTTTGTATTTAGCCACAATCAGAAAAAGCCTTTTTAACACTGAAAACCACAAGCCAATGTGTTGCATTTTTCCCCCCAGCTTTTCCATTCTGAATGTTGGAGCTGGTGGAGCCGATTACAGCCTGTAAATCCTGAGTTACAGAATAGTAAACAGTGTGGTGTTGAGATCTATTTACAATTCTCATCTCCTTCCCTAGTTTTGATCTGCAAAATTCTACCGAGTTAAAATATGTTTCAGCATGAGAAATTTGAAAAGGAGAGGATTAAAAAAACATGAGGTTGAAGCAGTAGCACAGAGCAGCATTAAAAATAATGAATGCTCATTTCATACTAACCCATTCGAAAAGGAGTTCTTACTCTATGAAGGTAAAGCTGCTTTTCTGATTAAAGTTTTGTTGTGAAATATGTACATGCTACCAATAAAAATCATAAGCAGCAATAACATACATATTCTCTACTTTTGGAGAAAAAAAGAGAATTTATATATATCTAGAGGCCTGACAAATACATCTTTATAATAACCAGACCACCACTGAAAGCAGAATTAGCCTAAATTAATGTCTAATGTACAGCTAATGATTTCAGGCTAATTTCATTGAATTCCTTAACTTCTTCCACACTTTGTGGTGACTGTAGAGGAAATCGAATATGCATAATGTATGACCTGACAAAAACGTAAGTAAACTACTTTATTTAACCATGTCTATTTGTCATCAACACTACAGCAGTAATGGCATTCTGTCCACCGTTTTAATAATGCATATATTGATCAGCTTATCTCAGACCTCCACTACTCTTCATGAGTGTCCTTAAATCTCTCTAAATGAAGAAGCAAAGATTGTTTAAATTGAAAAATGTGAATATAATGAGAAAAGAGTTACATTAGTAAAACTAACATTAATCTCTGTTATTAAAAAAACAGATATTTTTTCTTTCAATGAATTTTAATGCAAAAAAGTACAATTAGATTAATTCAAGATGTTTGTCAATCACAATGTTTTTTAAAAAAGCATTGTTAAATTGTTAAAAGTAGATATCAACTGGGCCACTAGAAAACATTAGTGTGTTAAAGCAGGAATTGTACATCTCCTTAGGCAGTGGTGTTATAGATTTAATGTGAAAGGGTTTCCATGGAATTGTTAATAACTACCTTCTATATTCATAAATGCTATTTATGCTGTTAATAAAATCACTACACAGAAAATGAGGCAACTCTTAAAAGAATGAAAGATATAGCAGGCTATCTGCAGGATGTCTAAGTCACTTAAATGAGATTAATAGTATCAAGTACACAGTTGTTAATAAAATTTCAATAAAACAATACTATGATAGTAAAGAAAAGAAAACTAAGATAATTAAACAATATTTTGATGAACAGGAGACAGAATTTTGTACTGATTGTTTTTCTTTCTTCTGTAAGAGATGCTTGAAGATCAGACAGGATAAATTAATCTCAGTGATTCTGTCTTGTTCTTTTTTCCACAGGGAATTAGAATACCTACAAATAGAAACTCCTACATCAAACTCCTGCAATGCTGCAGAATGGGAAAAGGAAAGAAGACATATTTCTAAAAGGAACTGAAATGTTCTAACTTTGATACTAGACAGGATGACCAAAGATCTGTGTTATCTATCTGCAAGTGGCAGAGAAGGTAAAAAGGAGAAGTGAGAAGATCTATTTTGTAAAGTCATATTGCACCTATTCATGGTAATTTACTTTTATACAACACTTTTCATCCCTAAAAGTTCTAAATACTTCATTTGATTGGTGAGAGACAGAGAGATCACTTAGTTTATCACTGAAGTCCTGCCATCTTTATGATGAATCCTGGGTAACTTTCAAACAGTGTATAAAGCAATATACAACATTAAAATTTTATGAGAAGTAATTTCTTTAGATGAAAAACTATTCCTACTGTCTGGGAGAAAAAACCCCAATGTTTTCAAAGACTCAAATATTATTTAGATGAGAAAACTTTTACTGGAACAATTCTACAAAATCATTCTCTAAGCCTTGTTTTGACTTAAGAGTCGTCTTTGGAGAAATGGGTTCAGTTAATGTCATGCTGAGTTAAAGCAACATCTATATTGTTTCTTTCATCCTGATGTTCTGGATGGGCTTTAAAACTACTTTATGGAAGTTGCTACAGACAGCTGGCTAGAACAGACCTCGAGTATATTGTATATCTTAACTTTCATGGTGGAAAGGTGAAAAAAGGAATGGTGCTGCTCCATAAAATCGTGGATGTTTATGCCTCACTGTTTCTGTGATAATGCTTTAAGTCCTGAGTAAAGTTTTGTGAGAAAGACACATCCTACACATCACCTCTCCAGAAGAAAGACCTAGGAAATGTGACCAAGCTGCCTTTTGCAGCAAAGCATTATATTATCTTAGAAAAGCATTTGGCACTGACAGAGAGATGTTTTTTGTTCCTCTTTCTCTTTGGTTTCCTCAGCCATTTGGTGAGATAGGCTCTCAAGAAATCATGTTGGGACTGCTTCCCATCAGTCTGCTGCTGATGGGAATGCCTTTTGCCTATGCCAAAATCCATGCCTGGCTGAATAAGGTACTTCTTGACTTTTCACAAATCAGGGTTCCAAATAACTCAAAGCAGCAAGATACGTCATGTTCTGTTTCCAAATTTGATCTCACTATTTGTTCTCAAATGTGTCCTTCTGCATGAAGGAGAGAAATATTTGTATGTAGCTACCTGATGAATGGAAAAAACAACAAATACAATTTCATTTTATAGTAACATTTCACATTTCTCCATTAAGCAATAAAATCAGAGATTTAGGAGCTTCAGAAACAATAACTTTTTTGGAAAGTTTCACAAACTGGAAGTTACATATATGCAGCCCAGTGATTTGAGGGGATGATCTTTGGCTTTGAAATATTCTCTTGCTTATGGAAGCAAGTTATCTGACCAACAATTTAAACTCTTCAATAAAAATACATTTGTTTAAAATAACATTTTAGATAACCACTGAAGCATAACTAGACACCAAAGAGGAGGTAAAAACCTCTCATAATGTGATTATTTTAATCAAAGACACATGTGGATGAAACAAAAGAGAGCTTGAATACTACACCCCAGTAAATTCCAAGTAAACGAATATATATAGTGGAGGTACTGTATAGTGTGATTTCACATTCAGATCAGAATAGACCTCAATGGCATAGTAAATTAAAGGCTGTTTACCTGAAAGCAGACATTAGGTTAGCATCAGATAGATGAGAACTTAGTTCAACACAGGAGACATACTTAAAGCATACCTTCACAACCGAAAAATCTGTGTCTCTTTGTATGAAGAATTATTCAGAAGTACTGTGTTATTTTGGGGGTTGTTCATTTGGTGGGTTTCAAAAAAATCAACTTCCCATACAAGAATTCAATGTAGGTTGCTTTTTAATGCAAATCTTAGTTAAGAACAGTCCCCATATGACACTCTCCTATTGCCTTTCCGTAAGAATTCCACAATGAAACCAGTGTGAGCCATAGACAGTTATCACAGTGATGTAGAGTTTTGCATTAGGGCTGATATCAGCTACTCTTCTCAATAGCAAAATAGGGTTTCAAAAAGTACATGTGAAGTTTAAATACCTGATCTAGAAAAGTTTTCAGAACTACTTATTTAATCCTCAAAAAATATTGGGCTAGTAATTGTTCTGGCCATGAAATCTGCCTGTCTGTCATAGGTCTTTGAAGGTCATGGTAGCAAACACTCCCTTCTCCAAAAGGCTGATTTTCTCTGCTGTGCTTGAAAATTGTAGCTATTACTCTCAAGGAAGAATTTCGGTTTTCATTCTAAGATGTATTTTAAAGGGTGTCTTCCTTTTTCCAACAAGGACTGTGTCATGCAGCACTGACCTGCCACACAAAAAGCAATGACCAAACGATTTAATAAAAGCCCATACCCGATGGATGTCATTCTGTTTCTGCACAGTGGGAAGATCTCCACCAATGGGCGCTTGCTGTTTTAATTCATCCTCCTTCAACTGCAGCCATGCTAAAAGTTCCTGCAGAGAGAGATGCAATCTCTTCCACTGGTCGGTACTGGCTTCCAAATGGGATCTGAAAGCATGTGTTAAATATAAGATAGATTCAGTCACAGTGAAAGTAAAACCAAAATTATACAAGCTTATTTACTGGGAAAGGTCCTAGCGTTTCATTAACTTAATGATTTTTAAATAGCTTCAGTGGGTTTGAATTAGATTCTGGCAACAGAGATTTAAATTTGGTTCTGTAGTCTTGGCTTTTTTCGCATCTCTTGTATTTTGCTTTTAGTTGTTTGGTTTGGTTTGATTTTTAAGTTTTCCTCTTCAGCAGTGAGTAATAGCTGTGTTGAATTGTCAGTCTCCCCAGAAGTGCACAAATATTATGAAGGACTAGCATAAGAGTAGTGTAGTCATCACTTAGGATTACTAGGACATTAATTACCTAAAATGTAGAGAGCAGTTTTTCAGCTCAGAGAAGAGTAAACATTTCTCTAAACCACTACATAAACCATTTAACTCACACAAAATTCATTCTCTTATTTCTTTAAAATAAGAGAACCTATGTCACTCTTTCAAAAAAAACTAACTGAATCACTGGAAAAATTAAGAGGCAGAATACCACTTCATGCAAAAAAGGTCTTTATCATAATGACATCTTCTAAATATTTCCTCTGTATATGTACTATTTTTATCTCAAACATCACTGCATTTGAGCAACTTCAGGGGTAAAATGCTCATGATGAAAGAATTCTCAGAGACCTTGAAGGGTTTTATGCTTCTTCTTTCCTCAGAAAAAAAAAAAAAGGAGGAATGTACCTCTTTAGCTACTAATATCTTTTCAACCTCACATCCTTCATTTATTTTTAATGATTGATGATATGAAGATGGCTTTTGTCATTACACAACCTGACCTCCCTCAGGACCTGAGCTGAAAAAAGCTAATATTTCATACATTACTTTGGAAAACACTTCTGCCTTTTGCTGTCCTCTGAACTATCACCAACACACAGCAAGTGAGCAAATGAAAAAATGCCTGAGGCTGAATGCAACAGAGCTGGGTTGCCTATTGTAAAAGTCATATTTCTGAAGGAAAGTTTCCTGGATAAATTCTTTTGAGAAGAAATCTTCAGTCCATTGAAACCTGAATGACCACTTGATCATTTGTAATGTTACTTTTTATGATATTTTTCCTTGCAAGCAAAAATTTTTTTCCTTTCATGACACTACCTGTGGATTTCTTTTACCCCTAGATTTTATTTGGAAATTCTGTCCATTCTCCAGACAACAGCTAAAACCTTAAATAAATTGTCTTCTCATTTACAAGGCTATTTTTAATTTTGCATTGAAAACAGCAGCCTTCAAAATAAAGCTTATCATAAATATTGGTTATTTAATCACTTATTTTCATGACTCATTGATAAGTCATATCCAGCTCTAGAAAAAGCCTACATTTAGATGGGGTACAGTTACTGTTTAAACATGCTAATCTGTCCCTCTGTAATTACAAAAGTTCATCATATGCCTCAAATCCTAATCCCTTACTATCATTTTCACACCAAAAAGCCTAATAATTCTTACAAAGTTAAGCCAACGTTCAAAGTAACACAATTCCAAACCAGACAAAAATAGTACTATCAGAAACAAAATGAAACCTTTTTACTTGCAAAATGCAGCATTCTGTCTTACACACCATCAGGAGGCTTTTGCTCATGTTCAGGTCCTACCTAATGTTTAGAGATTTCTTCCTAAGTTCACTCCATCTGAGGTTCATGTTATCCAGGCGTCTCTGCAATAGGGTTGCATCTTCAGAGCCTTCAAGGGACCTCAGGATTTTCTGCCCGTTTTCATCCAGGTTGTGAAAGATGTCAGTGTGAGCATCAATTTCCGCCTGTAGTTCCTATGGAGGCAACAGAAAACAGCACATGTGATTTCTTAAAAAAATCATAGAAACTATAATTTTTCAAAAGAGTGGAAAAATCCTCAGTGCAACACGGAGCACAGGTTTTGATTACTGCTTTTATGGCAGTACCATGTGCTGTACACACAGCCATGTTTCCCTTTCACGTGAAGGCCTTTTGCATTGAACACGACCTTTCTTCCATACAGAGCATACTGAGCAAAATGTAGACAGTTAAAAGTGTAGCCTTTGACAGGCAACAAAAGAAGGACAAGATATATTTACTGTGTTGACGAGGGAAAAGCAAACAAACACAAAACCCCCAGGGTCTCAGGTAAATCTGACCTTCACATGATACGTCTTCCTGTGCAACATTTTCAGTTTCAGCTGGGGACTGCAACACCGGTCCTGCTGCATAGCAATTCCAAGAAATCTGGGTGTCCGCAGCAGTGGAGCTTTAAAATGCCAAGTTCACTTACATTCTGTTGACAGAACGCGTTTTGGAGCCCAGGCCTCAGAAGTCAATAGCAATAAACAGCCACTTTGTGCTGTACCAAAACACTGGTTGGGGCCACGGCTGTAGGAGGGCCTGAGAATAGCAAGGACCCAGAATATGCAACTGGCAGCTCATGTTGAACAGCCAACTTTTCTTATCGCTCCGTAACTGCAGGCCAGCTCTACATTTTGGATTCATTTTTCCCCCTCATTTTTAGCACAGCTGTTTCTGCCAAAAGAACATTCTTTAGAGAGCTGCCTGGTACCAGCATTCCTGCCTGCCCACACGCTCAATGCAGCCTTTGTACGTTGGCTGCCCTTCTCCAAGACGTTTGCATGCTGCAGCTCCACAAGGTCAGATTCATTCGCAGGGAACAGTGTTTGAATTAAGCTTATTAGAAAGAATAAAAATAATAATAATAGTAATTTAAACACATATGTGCGTGAGCACACACATACTCCATACGCAGCCACATCAGCCCAAAAGTACCTTTACTTTCAAACAAAAAAGCACACAAAGACACAAAGAAAATGACCTAGTGAATAAAGCTCTGATTTTCTCCTGGGATGCTTGGGCACTGAGTTTCCTGGTGGTGGTTTTCTTCCTGCCCAAAATGGGAGTGCTAGGGACAAAGAGTGAAAGAGCAAGTGATGTATGGCATTTGAGAGCAAGACCCAGCACTGACTGAGCATCACAGATAGTCCCCAATGGAAATTTGTTGCAATTTTCTTTAGAAGAATGACTTTGAAGGAGGGGAGCACACAGTCTGTCTACTTGGTGTGTTCCTAATTGAATTGGTTTTATTTGATATTTTAAGTGCAATGTTAGCTGCACTGAATCATGAGTAGATTGTCCTTGTTCACCTACTGCTGTTCCAAATGTCCTTAACTGGATACCTATTCCTTGCACAGCAATGACTAGTACAGTACTTGGGGAAATTTTAAGGTAGGCTAGGAATGTCTTTGGTACAGTACAAGGGATTTTATCCAACTATTTTACTTATCTAAGGTCATCCTAGCAGGAAAGTAGTTAGGCATGAGTTTGGTATACATCAGAGGTAACTCTACAGAATATAAATGCATTGTAAATAGTTTATTTATTTATTTATTTATTGATGTTAAATAGGTAATTTATATTTTTTAAAATGCCATTATTAAGGTACATAACAATGTATAGTATTCCAGGTATGAATGCCCTTACTTGAAAATTTGTACTTCATTTAAAGTCTGAATGTTGTTAATTTCAGTTTTTATCTGTGATTCTTTATTTTTGTTTACTTGACTGAAGAATACTCCATAATTTCTTTCCATATATGCATTTGGAGATTTTATTTAAGCTGGGTTAAATATTACTATCCTTATGTAAACAGCCAAAATAACATGTAAGAAAGGATGAAGTTCACAGTAAAAAAGTTAACTTTTAATTAAGTCTGTATACTTCTGAGGTCCTTCCACATTTAAAAACTGATAAATCTATTCTGAATAGAAAGAATGAAAAGGTAAAAGAATTATATGCACTACCTCCTGCACAAAGTCCTTGGTTTTTAGGATGGTGATGGAAAGAGCTGCCTTTTCCTCTGAAAGAACATGTGCCATGAAACATGTTCAATAATGATTCACAGAAGGAAGCTGTCAAATCTATGCCCTCTTGGTGTTTTACCACACATATACTCATAGCAGTTTATAAGACAAAATTTTTAAAAAATGGCTTTCCAGATTTTGCTTGTTTTTAGAAAAAGTGTCTTGTAGTTTACACATTTTGTGGTTTTCTCCTGACACATACAAAATTCTGAAATAAATTAAGCCACATACTTTTTATTTCAGATTACTATATAGAATCAGAATACATCTGGACAGTTAAGTAGGCAACAGACATGAAAAGTGGAGTATTCTTAACAAAAGCTTAGTATTCAAGACTTGGTTTTCCTTTTTCCAAATTACTTGTGTATACTACACTACTTCTAATGCTCCCACAAGAAGTTTATTCCAGCTATGCAGGAAGCCTACACAGAAGCAAGGCAACAACAAAGATATTTACTCCATTTTGGTTGGTGCATTTTAGATCTTTTCTTTGTGACACTTTCACATCCCAAGAGAAGCAGAGAGTATATAAGAAAAAGATCTATATACCTTTTATTTATTTTCTGAAATAAATAATTTCCATGTCTCAAAAGTACAATGTGTACTAGATTCTTTTTCTTGGCAATGATAGAGCAGGAAGATCCACTTAACCTCAAAAATTGTCAAGTTATTTGCAAAATCGTGCCACAATTACACATTATACCTAGAAGTATACCACATAGACTAAATATATATTATTTATTACAGTTTTATCTTTTCCAGTGTGTTCAAACACATGGAGAGACTGAAGAGGATAAAAAAATCAATCCTTATATAATTCTACTGGGTTACAGTTAGACCATGTGCTGCATTTTTGCTGTAGTGTTTATTACTGAGGCTGTGTGGAAGAAGATTTCTATCTGCTCTTAAAAAAAGCTGAGACCAAATAAAAAGCATCTTTTTGATCACCAGTTACTGCTTAGAGTGAGCTGAACTGCTTGGAAAGAACTGCAAGTCCATCAAGCACAGATTTGTCTAAGAATTTCACAGTGAAATCCTCCTTTATTAAGATGAATTATAAAGTTAGATGATAAAAGATACCATAGTTTTTGTTTGTAGAAACTTAGCTGAATAGCTATTATAGGTTTCTTTTAAAAATGTGTATTTACTTTATTTTACTATATAGAATAAGTCTGGAACTAAGACACAGAGCTGGAATGATTGTCTTGAGGGAAACAACCTTCTTGGATAGGACAGGGTGAGGAAATTTGCTCTGGCTGTTTCACTTTTGTCCCGAGCCCTTGAAACCATTGCATGATTTATAGGGGGGACAAGTATGCTAGTGTTGTAAGAGCACACCCAATACTGTCAGAAAGCAAAATCTTTGCCCAGTTCAAGCATAATACTTGCCCATTTCAGCTGTTCCCCTTGGAACTACTGCTAGCTTTCTCCATAGGAGCCCACATCCTCACTGCCCTAATTCTTTTAGTAGGTAAAAGAAATTCATCTGTGGCTCCACAAGTTTTATTTTACACAGCACCCTGCTAAGCACAGTAGGGCTGTTGCAGGGAAATCTCATGCATTAAAAGTTCTGTCAGCTTCCACATAGCAGAGCTAGTCTTGTTAGGATTCAATATTGTTTGAGATACTTCAGCTGTAACAATTAATAATTGTTAGTATTATTCATGTCCCATGTGCAACACACAGATATGACATATAAAGGACATGAGACATGTAAAAATCTGCCATTATTTCAGCAATACATCTAGAGAAGGATTGGTAGTCTGGAAGTAAAATCAAGTCCTAGAAAGAAGGAATCAGTTATAATTCTTGGACTATAGATGAGTCATACTAAAACATGGAAATTAATGCAGCACAGCTGACAAAACATTTATCTTTTATACAAGGTAGAAAAAGTTATTTATGTAAAAATTTAAAGACATTAAAGTAGTTAAATCCTCCCCTACAAACTCAGTTCCATCCTTGGAATTATGCTTTTCATTTCCAGTGAAGCATTTTACATTTTCTAGATACTGTATAAAGTTACCAATGAAATAAATTACATTAATTGAGGTATGGGGGGCTCACAAAATTAAAGACATCATTAAATAAAAGCTACACAGAGGAAAAAAAAAGATCTCATTGACAGTAAATAATCAAATTGTCAGTCTGCATTGTTACATACATGTATGCAAAGCATCAGCATCAATGCTTGTGTGGTTATACATAGCTCAGAAGTACTATACTGTTTCTGTAATGCAAATACTGAAATAGCTGGAAAAGTGATCATAAAATGACTTAAAACAAAACAAGTATCACCTCTATAATCCCTCTCCATCTCTACAGTTTGCTTGACTAATAATCCCCTTCATATTTATATTAACAGAGCATACAAAAGTTAAGTAATTTCTGAAAAAAACCCAAATCAACTAAACACTTTAAATATCTTATATTAGCAGCATGTGCTTTCTAAACTTATACTAGTACAGAACACTTAAATGATGTAATCCCTTTTTTCTATTTTCCTTTTTTCCTCTTTTCCCTTTTTCTTCCTTCCACTTTTCTTTTCCCTTCTTCCTTTCCTCAATTCTTTTGCTCCTCTTTCTCTTCCCTTCCTCTTTCTTTCTTTTCCACTCTTCTTTTCTCCCTTCCTTTCCCTTCCTTTCTTTTCCTGTTTCTTTATTCTCATCTATATTTTCCTTTTTTCCCTTCCTTTCTTGCCTCTTTATTCTCCTTCTCTCCCTCTCCTTCCTTCCTTCCAGCCCTTGGTTTGGTTTTTTTTTTTGGTTGGTTGTTTTTTTCTTGGGGGTGGTGGTGGGGGGTGTTTGTTTTGGGGTTTGTTTGGGTTTTGTTCCAACAATATTACTGAGTAAAGCACATCTGTAGAGAACAGGTCTCTGTTCTATGGTCTTGAATGTGACAGAGCAGCTCTCAGGGCTCAGCAC